CGTTGTCCATGACTGCCTACGTTGCTTTCTTTTTCAGGCTGCAGCTATGACAAGCAGATGAGGTCCTTTACTGATGACGTCTGTGTTGTTCCAGAAAAATTTGAAGGTCAGGGAAAGAACGGCTCGCAGTTTGGGTGTCAGATAGGGTTATCCAGCATATTTGCTAGTCACTTGACCACTGTCTACGTAGTTTGTTACACTGTGTTGTTGCAGGTGTGTTAGCTATCATTCATACCTGGCCTTTTGGTGTCCCATTTCTTGAGCTTTTTTAGCAACAAACAGGCCTTCTAGCATAAGTAGCTTAATTGTGAGGTTCATCAGTGCTCCTCTTGGAAGAGCTGTTGGTGAACTGGCCACTGTTTTATGTGAACTGAAATATTCCAGGTAAACATTTGTGAAATGTAGGGGGTTTTGTAACTGGTTTTGCACTGTTACCCTTAAAAACACCTTGTTTGTTCTTCTCAGCAGGAGACATCAAGCAGGAAGCTGGAGGGTACCGGGAAGGTCCTCCATACCAGAGACGGGGATCTCTCCAGCTCTGGCAATTTCTTGTGGCTTTATTGGACGATCCAACCAATTCCCACTTCATTGCCTGGACTGGTAGAGGGATGGAGTTCAAGCTCATAGAGCCAGAAGAGGTGAAACCACTTATTTAGCTTCTCTACAGGCTCAGGGGGAGCAGCTACTCTTTCTGAGGCTGCAAATTCCCAAGTGGCTTTTCCTCTGCCCTGTGAAGGCTCCTGCCTACCAGTAGTACTCGCTAGACCCTGCGGCAAGTCAAGATTTTTAGAAGAGACCAAAACACTTGGGTGAAACAAATATGACGTTTAAGAAAGGCTGTTTGTAAGTTTATAGTCTCAGCAATGCAGTGAGTCAAATTACCCACTGCCTCCGCTTCCCTAGACACTTCACTCCCAAGCTTGCAGTGACCTGTGCTGTCTTATCATGCTCCATACTTGAGGCTGACATTGAGGTTTGGAGTTTCGAACCCTACTGATCACAGAAGTTTTCATAAGAAAAGTCTGGAAGAAACTATGTCCTAGTCTAAACCTATTTTTATATCAAAATGATGTTGACTAAGGTGTGATTTCTAATGCTGCCACGTTCCACAAATCTCAGTGATATCTGACAATATCTGGGAGATGCGTCTGTAATATCTGTTCATACCTTGCTTCAATTAAAGCCGCGTTTAGCACTGCTCTTGCTACATATGAACCTTTACAGGCCCTTTCAGTGCAGATGAGTTGTTTTTGTGGGCTGACATACTCTTACAACAGATTTTTGAGTCTCATAGCAAAGCTGAAAATCACATAGTAGGAGGAAGACAGACACACAGGCCTTCCAGTGGAGGTGTTCCCTTGTACTGGGGCTCCTGGTAAACATGTGATCCTTGAAGACAAAGCGTAGCATAGGACGAAGCAGTCCTTTGGCATCCCCAAGCTTTCAGAGTACTAGAGAGTGAGGACAAGTGGTGACAGCAAATGAGCTCTGTAGTAGCAAGAACGCCTCTCTGTGACATACGGTACTTCAGTTTGAGTTCTCCTCTTCTTGTTGAAAAGCTGCTAGATTGTTTGAGTCTATTATTTAAATGTTGTAAATGATTGTATGTGTTGTGGTACCATTCCTCAAAAGAGAATCAGCTGGATAATGTTCTTTTGCCCTTGAGTTGGATTCACAGATGTTCATACACTTTGATGCTTTATTCTACAGGTAGCCAGGCTGTGGGGTATCCAAAAGAACCGTCCAGCCATGAACTACGACAAGCTGAGCCGATCTCTTCGCTACTATTATGAGAAAGGCATCATGCAGAAGGTCAGTTTTCAAAGCAGATGGAGTTTTTATGCCTTTAGTGATGCTTGTCTTGTTTTGAGACAGGAAGTCTCACAGATACAGAATGTGCTTGAGTTAGCCAGGTATCCTGAACTTTCTTTCCCCATGACTACTCTTTGCGGTAGTTAAATGAGGAAGGTGTGAAGGAGCTGGATCTAGGCAACATATGGGAAATAAAACAAGGCGGAATAATAATTTATTTCTTTTCCTATGTATGTCTGCAGTCGGGAGAGATGGAATTTATGCAGCTGCAAGGACATACAAGCAGTCTAGGCTTGCTGTTGGTGAAAAAAAGGCTGCCTGGGGGTTGGTCTTATGTGGTAGAAATGGTCTCTTCCAGATCCAGGGCACTGGAGAAGGTAACTGAGTGTAATTATGTCACAGTACAGACTGGACAGGGACTGTCGATGCTGTTGCTACCTGGGCAAAGAGTCAGCTTGCAACATCCCATTTCCCAGGGGATGTTCCAGGGCAGACCAGAGCAGCAGAGAAACAGGAGGACCGCACAACAAGTTTACAATTCTGGCATTTCTCAGGGGAACGGGCTAGAGCAGCCAGATGCTTTTGCACGTCTGCTCTGCTGCTGAGGAGCGTTGACCAGTGCTGCCCGTGTGCCTACAGCACTCATCTCCTGTCTTCCCCGCAGGTGGCTGGAGAGCGCTACGTGTACAAGTTTGTGTGTGAGCCCGAAGCCTTGTTCTCTCTGGCCTTCCCTGACAATCAGCGGCCAACGCTGAAGGCGGAGTTCGACCGGCCCATCAGTGAGGAGGACACAGTGCCTCTTTCTCACCTGGATGAGAATGCCACTTATCTGCCAGACCTCGGGAGCCTCCCTCCACAGCTTTACAGCAAAGGCTACACATACTAGCGTTGCTGGGAGCGTACTGTGCCACTTTTGCTCGTAGCTAAAAGATGTCTCATTACTATTCATCAGTATAAGCATTTTTCCAGGCCAGCCTAGGGTGGCACTAAACTATGAATACCTGCTTTGGTCAGGAAAAGAGTTCAGGTACACATATGGATAATGACCTGACAGCTGATAGGGCTCTGTCTTCTTGTGATAAGACCCTCATATTTGTCAGGATGGGACTTGTTCTCAGCGATGCAGACATCTTCCGAGCAGCAGAGCTACAGCTTCAGCGGCATATGGGGTAGCTGCTGCCTCCAGTTGGAACAAATGAGCCTGTTGCAGTCCCTCTCTTTGGCAAGGGAGGAGATGCCATCCTACTGGGCTTTTTTTCAGATATGAGGACGCCACAATGCTGTTGCTGACTCCATTTCTCCAGTACACGGACTGAACCTCTGTATAACCTGTTCTCAGCAAGGGATGGCTCTGACCCACATGGACTCACCTCTGCAGGGCCAGTCTTGCCTTCTTCCCAGGATGACTGCAACACAGTGGTCACAGATCATATGCCTTCCTTGTCAACTGCTTTGTGGGAGAATACTTGTTGCCTTGTATCTGCATGCTCCTGCCTTATCACCTCCTTGCTCATAACACTTCATGCCAGGGCTATCTGGTATTTAGGCACTCTGTCTGAACAGGGTAGCTGGAGGAACTGGCCAGGATTAGTGCAGTCCTGGTGTACATGGCACAACATACAGTTTAGGGGAGCTAAAGAGCTGCCTGCGTGCATTGGGCTGGGGCACAGATTAAAGCTGATGTCACCTTCAGGTAGAGGGATTGCAGGAGGCAGCAAGGCCTGAGCCACCATATCATTGTAGTGCTGTGGCTTTTCCAAACTGAACAACTTCTACAAACATCCTCAGGATCTTTGAAGACCTGTCTGGTTCTTGAGTGTGCCTCCTGGGCTTGGCTAGAAAATCATCTGAGCCAAGAAAAGAACCTGGTGGAGGTGTGTTAAGAAAATACTTTACAAAGTAACCTAAACCATACGTAGTTCTTAACATCTGAATTTAGACTTAACCTGCACAGATGTTTGCATGTTTGAGGGAAATCCTGATGTGTTGGAAAGGTAGCTATCTCTGAAGCCCAATGCAGCACATGCAACTTAACTAGACTTTGACTGTTTTTCCACAATAATGAACATTTATAACGGGCACTACATCCTCATTAAGGCTGCTTTTCAATTAGCAGCTCTGACCATGTGCTCAGTTAGACAAGGAGCAGTACAGTGGACCCATACAGAAAAAGCCTGTTTCCTACTGCTTCAGATTCATGTTCCAGCTGCTGAATACAGAGCGTCGACAACGCTGCCAATGTGGTAGCCTGTAGAGGAAATTCTGTATATTGATTGAAAGCCTGATTTCCCCTGATGGCTCTCCCCTGCATGGCTAATGCCAAACCTCCCAGCCTTGTCCCTGGGTAAGAGGGCCAGGAAAGGCAGCTCTCCCTGCCTGAGGAGAGGCCTGATACTCAAGAGCAGCCTGCTCTGCTGATGCCTTTGCATGCCCTGTGCAGTCCAGAGACTTGGTGTTCTGGCAGCTTCTGGCCCTCCTGCCCTGCCCTGCGCCCATCTGGCAAGCACACTTCCTCTGGCGTCCCAGAAGTGAGGGTGAAGGGGAACCCTTCCATTCGGATAAGCTGCCTTTACTATTTATGAGTGTAAAAATACTATTAATAAATTGGTCTACATCTTTGGCCAGTGCACCTTCATTCAGCCCCTGGTCAGTCCTCTCTTACCTTCTGAGCTTCCTTTGTCCATCTCCTTCACACCAGCTTGCAGCTTTGGGTAGCTGATCCAGAGTTCAGGGATGTGTGTTTACTTCTGACTCTTGGTGGAGTTGAAGAAATGAACACTTCACTCCCTTGACATCCTCACAATTAGTCATACAACCAGGACTGAAAGATCACAATGAAACACATAACCTCCAGCTGCACCTGGTGTCAGGGGAACAGTTCTCTGTAGCTGCAGAGAACATCACCCACGCTCTCATGCTGACAGCGCACTGGCCCCTGAGCCGAGCTCCGTGGGTTTAAGCAGCTTTTCCCTGAACTTGATCTCTGTCTTCAGCAGTGATGCTTCCAGGTTGCTTGCAAGGAAAGTGAGCGTGTTACCACCTGCTGAGCTGGTAACATGATCAGGGCAGCGTAGGGCACAGCAGCAATCAGAGCCATACCCTGTCGCAGGTGGCAGAGCTGAGAGCAAGCCCTGCCAGAGCACTGGCACCAACAGGGCCTCAGCGAAGGCTACAGCAAGGACGGGATTCACCCTGAGGTGGAGGAGCCCTTTGACACTGCACTTCCCTCAGGACAGTCAGGTATCTCCTAAAGCAGGTATTTATGCCTTCTGGAGGCAAAATGTAGGTGCAGGCTGTACCCTGCTGCAACACTGTGTTTCTAATGAATGAGACTACCAGCTTGATTTTGTTTGATATCAGTCTGCAGGATTCCCAAGGATTTTACATTTATCCAGTATTCTTTGGGCTACCCTCTGCCCAGCTAATCTTCCTTCCAGAAAGAGAATTCAGGGAGCTACTTCACATTTGGATGAAATTTTAGCTCCATGTTTCACTCAGGTTTGTCAAGTCAGTGCAACAGATCGATAGCTGCGGAGCAGTTCTGGGAATCAGCAAGATCATATTCTCATAATTGAGGGGTAGAGACCTCCAAAGGGCAGAGATTTATAATAACCAGAGCAGAAAGTCAAGCATCAATAAATGCACTCGGTTTCCAGTTCAGCAAGACAGAGAGGCAGCTGATTGGGGAAAGATGTTGGAGGTAATAGACAAGTGTCATAAATTTCTCATGCTGGTCCTCAATGTGCCAGACCCATCCCACCACACAGAAGATGTTTCAGCTTTGCTATCTGGTCACTCACATTACTGCTCATACAGCAAAGTTGCCACAGCTCTCGATACAGACGGCAGAGTTGTCCTCCTGAGCTGAATGCTTTTGACACTGGAGCGGGGAGAAGTGCACGTTACTGTGACAGCACATATGGCCAGTGTAACACACTTAAGTCAGCATCCCCTCAACATATAAATTCACAGCTGAGCTTTGCTCTACATTAGGCAGGTAAGAAAGACACCATTCTTCACGGAAAACCCTCTAAAGACAGAGTTCTGCTCATGACAAACACTCTGACATCTGGATGCAAGTGCACCTAACGTTGTCACACTTTTTTACTATTGTTTACTCATTATATTCAAGATTTATGCTAGCAGCTTATTTCTCAGGATGTGATGATTCTTTGGGACCAGCCAGAAATAAATTCTCAGCAGCCATTTCTTCCTAATGTATTTTTTTCTAGAACTGTTGTTTTTCCATCTGGTTGCTATTGTTGCAGTGGCTTTGCTGTTGCTCCTGCTGTATCAACAGTACAAAGCCCAGCAGGAAGCACCATAAATCTATCACCCAGAATATGATGCAAAGCTCCTTTCTGGGCAGAGTAAATAATTAACACGTAACATTATAGTATGACCCAGATGCACCCTTAAAGTGTACTGTCTAAAGGAATTACCTCTGGTATTAACGGGTTGCCAAGCAAAGCTGAACGATCTGATGCCATTTTCTGAGGCTAACGCAGGAAATATTTCCATCACCGGATTCCATACCCTGAAATAAGCTTGAGTAGTGATCACGAAGAACAATGACAGCAGCCAACTTCACTTCATGGGCTGAGCACTGAACAGGAAGGCAAGGCAGTTATTAGAAAGTGCATTTGTCTTTCTCAGGCTGTGCACAACGCAGGCGGCTGATGTCATCTGGGTAAGCAAAGCCTTAACGACGTGTCTAGGGCCTTCGGGCAGGTCGCAAGGAGCTTCAGGACTGTAGAGAAGAGCTCGAACACGAGTGCAGCCCTGAGGGTGGGGGAAGAGAAACACAGAGTTCAAATTACTTAAGTAAAAACCAAATCCACCCTCAGGGCCATGAGACCACCTCAACTTTTCAGGGAGCCAGGCTTTTATGTAGGGGGATACGGCAGAGCAGAAGCTTCTACAACATGCATGCCTAAGTCCTAAATGGACACAGTGGAGAATTAACCTAAGACAAGAGAAGCATAAGAACTTATAAAGGCTGCTCCCCACACCTCCAATAGATTTTGTTTCCTAAACTTGAAGAAAATCTAAGACTGGATTTCCATCAACAGGCTTTTCAGACACTCACTGTGGCAGACCTAAATGGTAGAAACCAACATTCACATTCCATAATAGCCAGGATCTGCCACTAAGTATGATCCAGTTCACTTCCACCTCCTTGCCATTTTTGTAGTAAAAGTGAGCTAATACTGAACTCAAATAGACTTTTCTACGCCCAACAAAAAAGCACTGCTTTCAGTGGAGCTTGCAAAGCAGAGCTGTTTTGGACAGACCCACAGGCCTACCAGCCACAAGAACTACAAGATCATTTCTGATCCAAATAAACCAGCATATCCAGATCAGGGCAGCCCCACTTCTTCACCTCCAGTGTATGGACACACCAGCCAGAGGATTTATGTGGGTTACAGAACATACACACGCAAAACATATTTGCTAAAATCAGATACTTACTCCCTGTATTCCCAGCTGGCTTCAAAGAACAATACGTTCCTAAATGAAAAATTCCATGAAACTGCTAATGGGTCAGTATCACAGCCTTCTGCAACTGTCACAGGAATCTCATGAAGACTCAATTACTAAAAAACAAAACCCCCATTGTGTAAGCAGCACACTGCTGTCACACTGGATCTGGTAACAAGCCCATTAATGAGGTTAAGGTAGTTACTCTAACAGATGGAGCATGTGTGAGGCTGGCTGTAAAAATCATATTTATCTTTCTTGCATTAAGGGCCAAAGGTTGGTTTTGGATGTATGTGTGTACACATAATGTGAGTTATTCTTTTGCTGTGAATCCTTTGCTTGTGACAATCAGCTAACACTTAGAAACTGGCCTCTGGCACACACCTCAACACGCCGTTGGAGTTTTGAGACAAAGGATTGTTTGTTCCACCCATTCAGAAGGATTCATATCTCCACAAGCACAGTGAGGTCCCCAGCTAGATGAGGAACACCACACATCAACCTCTGGGAAACCAGAGGGGGGACAGGAACCAGCAATGTTTAGTCCATGCTGCTCGCATTAAATGTTCCACAAGCCACAATGCTGTCGAGCTGTAGAGAGGTTCACAGATGGCCTGGAATTCCTCAGCGGAACCATTCAACGTTTCACATTGCTCCTTGGTCTTCCAGGAGGAGAAAGAAAAGAAAAAAAAAAAAAAGGCAACCATAGCTTGAGCCTTCATCTATACTCCTTCGCCACCCCAAAGGCTGGTGCCATTTTGCCAACCTCATGTGAGAACAGCACTCATTTGATCCTTCAATTTATTCTTGCTTAGTTCTAATAACCCCAGTGCTTCGGCAGCTCAAGCTTTCCCCCTTAGTTACAGCTGAAGCCTCTTTTCACCACCTTAACCGAATCGTTTCTGGAAGCAGGGAGCCACCGAGCCTGAGGAAGGGTCTTTCAGCAGCTGTATTTGCTGCTGCTGCTGGCAGCAACGAGGCTGGACACAGGGCAACCACATCTGTCCCCTCCTGGCACGTTTACAGGAACTTCCACCCCACACCAGCACAGTCTGCAGCACAAGACTGGGAAAGGCCAGGAGGGGATTTGCTGCCACGTGCAAAGACTGCACCTTACGTACTCCTATAGCTCAGGAAACCTTTTGCAGTTACGCTGCATGTAACACCTCCGAAAACGTCCCAGATGAGACCGACGGCCTCTGCTGGCAGGGTTTTTGCCCGTCTGTAAGAATCCTGTGTTACCAGTTCTAGTGCATTGACCCAGTACAGCCAACAGGAACCACATCTCCCATTTATACCGCTCCAAATAATGCCGTTCATTTAGACAGAGGCAGGCTGGCACTTCACCCGGAACAACTCGAGGCACGCGCTCCCCAGCAAGGAGCCAAGACACCTATTCAGTTCTGTAACTACTGCCAGAATAAAGCATTAAGTTTTATCCCAGGATCAGGCAGCTTATTTTCAAGTTTTTACACAAGATAAACCAACTAAAAATCACATAAACAATAGCAGACATTAGAATGTTAATGCTCAGGAACCTCAGAGCAGTAACAGGTTGATAAAACTAGCTTTAAAAAAAACTTGTTAAGTGGTTCAAGTTTGCAAGCCAGCATTCCTGATCACAGGCTAGTTTTGGGTGCAGGGTATTCCCAAAGCAAGCAGCTGAGGTCAACAGGGAAAAGTTTCTGTAAATGAATTAAAGGATATTACTGAAAAAATTACATCAAGGAAAGAAAGAACACACACAAGACAGATGATGATTGTTCACTTAAAAAAGAGAAAATCCTCTCTTGATGCATTTTCCCCTACCATAAGTCAGAAAGAGGCTACACTGGAGATGCAAATACAAAATGAATTTGGAATAGAAATACCTCAAAGTACGCTATACAACTGGGACTTCCTCCAGGTGTATTTTCTCTTTCATTTGACTTTTGAAAGTCAGGTGTAAATTTTCGTAGAAAACAGTAACAGATGCAGCTGCAGAGCTCGTGGAAGTAAAATACGCTTGGAAGAGTATTCAATAGCACAACCTTCTCTGCCTAATGGCATACCAAAAAAAGCCTTCAAACTCGCAAACTTTCTGATTCTATTTAACTTTATGAAGATGTAACACCACAGGAAAGCTCTGCCCATCTATACAACGTAATAAAGCAGCATATGCAACATCCCTGCCCACCTTTTGTGCATAGATACAGGTTTCCAGTATAGCTACTTCTCAATGTGAAACATTCTTCAAATTCACTGAGTGTAAAACAACCAGCCAACTTCATTCTACCCCTTTAAACAACAATTCTAGCAAATGTCTCAGCTTTGAAAAAAAAAAAAAAAAAATCGGGTATCTGCAGCTATGGAGTCAAAAAAGTTTCATCTGTTTGTAACAGAAAAAATAATTCACAGATAGCTTCAGCATGACATAGCGCACACTGAAAAATCAATTTCTTTTTAAACAAGGAACTGTTACACAATGTTTTACAGACATTTTAGCTGTTAGAGCATATTCTATTAAAAAAAACCCTTGTGATGTCACCAAACATTGCAAGTGGAAATAAAACACGTGACGCATTGTACAGAAAGTCTAAACATCTGCAGCCACTTACGTTCCCAGACGGAGCCGTGCTACAGAGCGGATGTGGTGAATTACCGTTGGATATACCAGCCTTCAGCACACAAGAGATGGTGATGAGGGATAAGACTTAGTTTGACCTGTGCCATTGTCCAAGTATAACTGACATTCTAGCTGGGTTTCAAGGGATCTTTCCTGCCTTATCCCAAAGCCAGAAATTATCTCACCACAGATGGTTTGCATAAAAGACAGTTACACTGAACAGGAAAATGCACAAAATAGGAAAAATGGAGAACAAGAAGATCTCAAAAAACAGCTGCTGTCCAAGAGCATAAATAGAAATAAATCTCTTTTAGCAGGGTAAAGAAATAAACTATTCCAGTTTCTATTTGTCTGGTCAGAATACAGTTAAGTTGATGAACAACTATTTTTTAATGATCATCTTTTTGTTGTCTTTCAGCTCAGTGTCCACATTCCTGAGTCTTAAGTTTTGTCTCTTAAAAGGGGAATGACTAAAGAAGTGCTTCATTTCTGAAACGATGCAACACACTGAGGAGATCCAGGACATTTGTCACGCAGCTGTGGCATCTGAGGGGTAGCTAACATGAGCACACATGGCCCCCTTGTGCTTTTGCTCTGAAAATACTTATTTGCTGTTTGTTTTGTAGGTAAGCTCCAAATGAATGTCCTTTCTTTCAGGACACTTGCAACAGTGCAAACATCACAGTCCCACAAATGTAAAACCCGTAGAAGCCCCTGAGGAAAGCAGGGTCATCGCCGTCTGAATGCACGTGATATTCTCCAAGCATTGGGCTCCTCATAGCGATTGTACAGGGGTTCCAGCCGCTGCTGCTTTTTCTGTTTGCTCAGCTTGGTGGGATCAGAAACCTTGAAGAAAGCTGGTGCAAATTCCACCAGCCAGCGAGGATCAATAGTCGTCACTTCACGCATATATTCCTTGGTGGTCAGCACCAGTTCATGATACACCACCCTGTGAAAAGGGACAGCAACTTTGGAAATTAGTTTTCCCAAACAGAAGAGACAAGGCAAGGGCTGCAGTATCTAAGCTTGCCTCTTTACCTCCATTTCACACTCCTCCAGCATAAGGCTCCTTATAAGCTCCAACACAGGCTCCAAAAGAACCATCCAGAAAAGCTATCTACTTTTTCCTCTACTAATTTGCCAATACTCTTCAGCATAGAACTATTTCATTCCATTTAAAACAAATCCTTCTCTCCCTGCTCCCTCCCCATCTCAGCACTCCGTGTTTCAAACTCACTTTCACGGTACAGAGACACAGAACTGCAGGCTTCCGGCCTGGCCTTAGCTCAACCAGCAAGCCTCACCTCTCCACAGGCACTGATTTTAGCAGCAGAAAGAGCCAAAAGCAGACTTGAAACTTTCCTCATTCTGCTCATTGCTGAGAAAGCAGCAGCCTATACTTGGATCTATACTCCACAAATAATGCCCACTACAATCTTTCTAGCTATAAAGTCTGAACTGAAATAGAAAATTGCATGATGTTCTGTTCCTTACCATTCCGGCTGCCTGTTGAAGAGAGCACTGGATGGGTGGATATAGACTACTTGTTGATCAATGAGTGTACGATAACCTTCCTGGGGATCCTTCTTCGCTGCATTTCGGAAGAAGCCGCTACAGATGGCCTTCTGGACTCGAACTGTTGCCTTGCCACAGGATACCACATCCAGCTTGTGCCTGCCAGAGAAGAGTTCAAGAGAAATATAAGTTGAGTGCTCCGGATTTGGGCGCAGCTACCAATATCAGATTAGCAAATTTTGTTTAGCTAATACAGCGTAAGGTAACTAAGAAAACAAAGTTACTACTTGTCCTTCTTGACGTGCTCACCTGTCCATAATGCCCAACATCTGCTTGCGGATGTCCTGTGCCCTGCGTAAGGATCGGGCCTGGATAAAATTTTCATAGCACCAGGGATTTGAAAACTTATTGTTCTTCCAGGAATTGTACACAGCCAGCAGAGTCAGGTGGTCGCCTTCTGTCTGATGGAACTTGGCTTTCTTCTGATCAGCAAGTGCTTGTTTATCCTAACACATAAAATATGTATCGATCAGGTATCTACGTTGTGGAGACAACCCTTGTGCAACATAAAGAAGGACACGGGCTCCTTGTCACTCAAACCGTGACTTTCTAAGTCTACCAAGAAACAGATGATATAAGATTGAGAAGACAATAGAAAATTTTGAGTGGTGAGTGACTAAGGACCCAGTGATGAGAACCTAAACGTCACTGGGATTGCTCTAAGCCAAAACCAAGCCTGTATGAAAGGAAAGCCTAGAACCGTTCTTGCAAAGAGAGACCTCATGTAGACTCTCCTAAAGACTCTCTCATGGATGACAAGGAACTGACCAGAAAAGATTAATAACTTCTTTTTTCTTTTTACTGATACTTTTTATTTGATTTCATAAATGTCCATATTTTTGAAAGGACATTTCAAAGTAAATGGCTCATTTATACTGTAGGAAGTATATGCATGCATTGAATTAGCTAGCTTTTTACTGCTCTAGAAGCAACCTCAAATTCCTCATCAACAAAGGTGCTGAAGCAGTAGCTGTGACCCTATTGACCTACCCACCCTCTCCTCACTTCTCCAATCTGCAGATAAAACATAAATCAAACACTGTGGTTACATGAATGAAAAGTAAAGTCAACAGACTAAACTGCAGCAGGTCATCATAATGAAGAAATAATGGATTCAAGAAGAGTCTGCTGTTGAGGAATCCTACCACAGCCTGCTGCTCGCTGACTTAAAAGAAATCAGCACAGGATAGCACCGCCAGGAAGAAATACCTTCTGTGTATCGGAAAATGACAAAGGCATTCTGAACGTCAGAGCTAGGACTGACTTGGTTTAGGGTTGTATGTGTTTACTGGGAAATGCAAAACAGAATGGGAGACAGAATTCTAACTTCCATCTTCCCATCTGCAAAGAAACTACCAACATCCACAGCTACAGGGCGTTCAACCAAAAGGTGCATCAGAAATGTAACATATGAGCACAGTCTAACCAGGTCTGTTTTGGCAAATATGGCCACACTCTAACACCTGAAGCGGGCACACGAAAACCCACCCCAACTGTAACACTGCTGCTTCTTCGCCGCATTCCTTACCTTTGGCCTGTAGAACACGTTCTGTACGGACAGCATGGAGACTATTGTCAACATTTCCTCACTGCATCCCAGATGTACAGACATGATCAACATCTTACACAACATAGGCTCCAAGGGGAATTCTGCCATCTGCAAGAAACCTGTTTCAGGGTACCCTGCAACATCTTGGAAAAAGTCTTGAGTTCTCTCAGTGCAAAAGAGAGCAATGCCCTTTCTTCCAGCTTCCTTTCCAAAGCAGTGTGCTTTACCCAGAATAACTTTACTCAACATGAAACAAATTATTTGTCCATATTCACTACCACAAGAATATCCCCATATTTACAGGAAATTTTTAGACATTAATAAAAGTAACCTTATGAATAAGGAGAAATAATAGCAGTTCCTTAAAAAGCAGAAGATACGTAACTATGGTAAGTGAAAAGCTACCAATAAAACACAAGAGAATAACAGGAAAAGGAAACCAACAGCGCTAGGCAGCTCCTTATACAACTACTCTCATATCACCTCCTAAATAACTGGAGCCCAGCCAATGCTAAGAAATACTCTATTTTGCCTACCCTGCGGCCAAGTCGAGTGAGCAGTCCCTCATCATCCAGAGCTCCCAGGGTGTACAGCTGCTCCATGGCAGTTATGAGAGTTTCCATTGGGGGAGCATCCATAAAGTCAAAGGAGAGCAAATCGTTGATGCCCATAGCCTGAACAGAGGGAGTTAAAACATTGAGAAGGAAGACAAACTCCAGCTGGAGATAAACAGCCATCAAGCACTGAGGCCCTACAGAACTTCGAGCAACCCTAGCCTCCTGTCCTTACCCTGACTGTAACCTCAGTCACAACATGGCTGCATTTCTACACTTGAGATAGTCCACATTAGCCCATGGCTTTCACCCCCCATGCAGTCTACCAGTTCGCTTCTCTGGTACTGTTCCATACTTCCCTCCAGCAAGATGATTCAACCGAGGAGACGCATAGGCTAAACGCTGGTTTTGAAGATTTCCTGCCTTGTAAACCAGTGTGGCTTGACAGCTCCAACAGACACTAAATATGTTTCCATCCTTCCCCTTGTTCCCAGAAAGGGAGAAAGAGGCAGCAACTTCCCCAGCTGCTACGTACTGGGTTAGATCCAATTTGCGGACTCCCAGAGGGATTGTACACATTTCAAAGATGCTTATGTTTGGAAATCACAAATCGCTCTGCAACAGTGTGTCTTATCTGTTCACAACATAAAGGTTCCTTACATAGGAAATGTGTACTGCCCGTAAGACCCCTGTTTCTCAAACCTCCTGCAGCTAACTGCTCTGTGCAGCTGAGACTTGTAATTGGGTGGACATTCAACATCATAATCCTCAACAGAAAAACGCAGGAGCGAGCTCAGTACCGGAGAACTGCATTTGATGCAGTCTCCCTTCCAAAATACCTCTGTTCACCAGAAGGATTTAAAATTACACAAGTACTTCATGAGGCTCAAAGGCAGCGACTCATTCATTGAAACACTTATGATTGTGTTGGCTTGCTACAAGTTGGTGAAATACTCACCTTCAGGGAAAGTACTGTACTGGCCAAATTCGTTCTCTGGATTTCAGGCACATTGGTGGTTAGCATTTCATCTCGATAAGCACGCTCTGTATACAACCTATAGCATTTTCCTGGTCCTGTTCTTCCAGCCCTTCCTGCTCGCTGCTTTGCTTGAGCCTACAGGTAACAAGGCACCTCAATGAACAGGGAGAATCAGGCACAGGTGAAGACAAGTAAAATAAAATGATTCGTTATTCACACTTCTACTTGTATTAATAAAGAGAGATTTCCAATACGACCCAGGAAAGTATGTATTCCTTAGGCACAGCCTCAAGGAGTCTCAGGGAGTTATCAAAAATGTGGTTTTATCATTGCCTCACTTTGCTTCCATATGCTTGGACACCACATCATCAAGATACACGTTACCGGCAGAGGGGGGGGAAAAAAAAAAAGTCAAAACACAGAATGCTTACCTGTGAAATTGGTGTAACAACCAGCTGGTCAATTCCAGTCTTGGAATTATAAACTTTCTGCTTCACAAAGCCAGGATCAACTACATAATATATTCCATCAATAGTCAAAGACGTCTCAGCAATGTTAGTGGCGATGACAACCTGCAAACGACAGTGTGACTCAGTACCAGTTCTGTCTCTGGCTGCCAAGCCAACCACGCTGCTCAGCTTAAACCAGTCACTCTACACAATACGAGCAGTTTGTTATGAACACAACTACCATTTAACATCAAAACCAAGAGTTGTCTTCACAGAGGAACAGAAATAAGTGTTATTTACAGTCAAAGATGGACAGGTTTTAAGTATCTGCATTTGTTTTAGACTTGGGCAATAAGGGAAAAGAGCATGATAAAATTCATAATTAAAAGCAAGAGAAGTTTGTAAGCAGACTGCACTGACTTCAGGGAGAATTTTTGCCTATCACTCAAACACAGTCCATATCTAGAGAATAATTTTCCAGAGAATGTATCTTAGACATTCATTAGCTGTTTGGTAAGAAATTTACATCCATCCAACAGGAACTGCATTTAGATTTCACTGAAGTTAACATCCTTTAAAGGCAGCATTAAAAGAAACAACAAGAACATCCCACACAAAGGTTTGCTACATCAGATGTTTTTACGTATGTTTTTCAAAGGCTTAGCTAACAGGTATAGGTATGTACGCAACCAAAACCATGCTCTAAAAGCCACCTTTTCTCCAAAACTACATCATTTTGTCTGAAGTTGTAACTAACAGAATTAGAAGTGCTAAAAAAAAAAAAAAAAGAGAGACTATAATTAGCAGTGTAATATTCTCCACTATTAAAATGTATCAGCAGAAGATGAAGTCATACTTAGCAGAAATTACCTTTCTGCTTCCTGGTGGGGCTGGGTCAAAGATCCTGGTTTGCATTTCACTGGGTAAAGCCGAATATACTGGTAGGATAATTAACTCTGGAACATCAGGTCCTAGAGATTTCATCCTCTCATAGAGGATTTCACAGGCAGTGTCAATCTCTTCCTGACCAGTCAGAAACACCAAAATGTCACCTACACAGGAAGTAAATTAAAACATCCACAAAATCAATTCTGTTTAGTACAACTCCTGCATTACCACATTTCCATCCCTCACTTTTTCCATTTAAACCAGAGGATCCCCAACTTTTGCTAGGCCCTAGGCAACAACTCTTAGCCAGAACCAACATACTTCAGTCTTTCACTCCTTTTTCAGTATTTTATTCACTGTATTTGCAAACAATAAAGGATAGTGCTGAGAGCATTTTGCTCATGTTACTAATTCATGATCCATGACTTACAGAAAGACCTTGCTCATAGGTATTAGAGTCCTTAAATCACCAGTCACCCTAGACTGTTCTTCACTCACCTGGTGGCTCTGTTAAGTGGATCTGCATTACTGTAATCAGACTGGCATCCAAATAATCTGTCTCTGGCTCTTTTGTGTACAGAATTTCTACTGGGTATGTTCTGCCAGGAATCGTGAAGATTGGCGCTTCATAGAAATACTGAGAGAATTTCACAGCATCCAGCGTTGCTGACGTCACAATCAGCTTCATATCCTGCCGTTTCTGCACTGTCTAAAGCAGGACAGAAAGTTCTCAAGTCATTTATTGCCTTTGGGATTATTAACATATGGCACTTCACTTAAGTCAGAGAAATACGATCAGTAACATTAGGCATTTCGATTTCTGAGAGGCAGCTCATTCCAGTATCCAGAATTTCAAACAACTGACCATTAAGGTCACATTGGAAACCTTTCTTAGCAGCACTGATCACAGAAAGCCTTTGTCAGAGAAGGAAGAGCAAAGCCAGAACACTCCTCTCCTCCCTCATCATTATGAGCACCCTGGACTTCCAGTTCTCATTGCTTCTGCTGAGTTTTGCTTGCTCTGTCTTCACACAGAAGAATTTGGACTACAAATCCTTAGGGGCATTTGCTTTGTTTCAGAAGAGACTCTTAGAGCACACAAATGGACTTGACTCGCGTGACCTCGCCTCTCCCTGTGCACTCCTACTCATATGTAGCATACAGAGGACACTGAAGCAACAAAAATGAAACACCACATTACCTTCTTCAGGAGTCCAAAGAGCACATCTGTATGTATGGTCCTCTCATGGGCTTCATCCAGCATGATAATGGCATACTGAGTCAGATCAGGATCTATCAAGCACTCCCTCAGTAACATACCATCTGTCATGTATTTGATAACAGTTTCAGGGCTAGTGCAGTCTTCAAATCGAATGGTGTAGCCAACCTAGAAAGAAGAGTTGCACTGAAACTGAAGCTACAGAATTAAGTTATTGGCACCATTAATTCCCAGTTTGATTATTCTGCAAGTTCATTTTAGAGCCTATAAGGGAACAGACACATGGACACACAAGCAAACTAGCTACAGAACTGGTTTTTCCTACTTTTCCTCATGCTTATTTTGGCATCTTTTTCAAAACGGAAATTCACCTCTTGTCCCAGGCAGCAACCAAATTCCTCTGACACCCTCTTTGCAACAGACATTGCAGCCACTCTGCGAGGCTGAGTACATCCAATCTTTCCTCTTGACGTATACCCCGCCTCAGCCAGGTACTGGGTAATCTGTGTTGTTTTCCCAGATCCTGTCTCTCCAATAACAATCAGAATCTGGTTGTCGTGCACAGCCTAGAAAAGATCACAACAGATACACCTGTCAAAATTTAAGAACAAAAAAAACCCAACCCAAACAAAAAACCAACACAGTATATCAAGGACTAGACTGAGCAGCTACTGCTCTTCATCCAGTTGACCCAGACCAAAAAATCATACAAATGTTCTTACTGGTCATGTTAGCAAACTGCTTAACCATTTAGCTGACTCATCCCTTGCCGACATGATCCTAGTTTCAGTTTTGACTTACCTCAATAAACATTTGGCTCTTTATTAAAATACATAGGTATGCAAGATCCTTTAAAATAATTATTCTGAACTATAGTTCCGAATTTAAAATTATGAACTGGCTATTCACCTGTTAACAAGCTAAATCCAGAATATTTATTTATTTTAAATTACTGCTTGCTCAAATAAGAATGCCATTTCGAGAGTCTTACTTGTATCAGCTGCTCCTTCAGTCTGAAGATAGGGAGGCTCTCTCTCTGCTCAATGATGGAAAGCTGGGTCTTCTTACCGTAAGAAGCTTTGTTGCCACCGAACGCATGTTTCTTCCACTCCGGGATATCATTTGGCATCATCCCAATACCTCGCATGTTTGCAGCTATTTGTCTTCCATCCACTAGAAAAGAAACAAATTCACCATTACGTTTAGGTTCACACAGCACAGACCCTGATGACACCGCTCCTACTATTCCATCATCTGTGCCTTCAACACGGGTGTGTTTAAGTATTTTTAAAGTTCTACATGTATACCCCCCCATGACATTAATTTCCATGTAAAAAAATTGCTTCACCATCCATTGCACCTTTCAGCAATGCATCCTTGACGGATAGCAAGATGTACCTGTACATTTCCCCCGACGTTCCTATTTCCACTCCAGTGAGAACGCACTACTTCTTCGCCTTGCTTTTAAAAGCGCGGCAGACAAACACAATCTCAAGACGTTTCTCCTGGGTTGCTCAACTATCGCAAACAAAGGCACAGTTCACGCCCAGATGTGTTCAAACGTACCGTCAGGGAGAGGATCCACCCAGTGTGTGTTGAGTCCCATCGGGATAGAATCCATCTCTGCTTCTCTCTGGGCTTGTTTAAGTTCTCGTCTTTCTTTAGCTAAAGCACTCTGCATCATTGCAGCCTGGGACAAGGAACCATCTGGATTCTGGAAAGCAAAAAAATTTAAGATTTCGAGCATTCATAGTCCTTCAATTATCTGTCATCACTCTCCTTTAGAAGTCTCTTCTGAAGATGCTTTAAGAGACGTTAACTTTTTATCTATTTGATTTCCAGTATACTTCCATTAGCCCAGCTAGCCTCATGAACTTCCATGTCCAGTCAGAAGGATTATGGGCACAACCAATGAAAAATAAGCATTTCACTACTACCTTCTACTTTCAAAAGGTAAGAAAAAGTAGAACAGAGAATGTTCTAACACACACGTGAAACAGTTGCTGCTGCAGGTTAATGCGCATTTTGGTCCTATTATTTCACTTCACTGTCACCAGTTAATAAATCAGCTTTGTAAGTAAAGAAAGAATCTTCAGTTCAGTGGTAATGTTTTTCAGGGCTCTTGGTAATGTCCAGGTGGAAAACTGGTTGTTAAAACTCCCAAATGTTTATTTAATTAAATCAAGTACATTGGTTTTAGTCCCGGAAATCTCTTACCTTTACTATTTTGATGGGACTCATATCCATGCTCTGTTTAGTATGACCTCGAAGGAATGGTGGCTCTTCTTCAACTAACTCAATCTCAAGGTCTTCATCTAAAATTCACACAGGACAATTTTTATAGAACAGTTAAACAAGTTCTTTCAGGTACATAAGAGTACCTCTTCAAATGGTGCTTCCTGTGCATTCTTGATTGTGATGCAATTGGATAGTTTTAGAAGTGAAAAAAAAAATAAAAAGAATGCACAGACAGGGCATATCCAAATGTCACTAACAGTAAAGGTAGAGCAACCTTAGCTCCAAATGTTTAAGATGATATTGAATTGTGAGATGCTTCACCTCCACTTATATCATCTTTTTTCAAACCTAAACGCTTCCAGAAACACAAGGAATTTAGAACAACAATAAGATTACTTGAAAGTACTACCTTCTTCATCATCAACTTTAGGAAGAATCCCAGTCTCCTCATCAAAGTCAGGAAACTCTTCCTTGGAGAGCACATTAGCTGCAATCATCTAGGTACAGAACGAATACAACATGAATTTGTCCCCATGAGGAACACAACACACACCTACCAGGTCTCCATTCTAATGCAATTTTGAAACTCGTAAAACAGGAACAAAGGAATGTTGTGATTTCAGAAGGAATGGTCCTACACTCTGGCACAAGTCTCCCAGCGATTAGTCTTTTTGCTATTCTAAATACTAGCAGTGTGACACAGCTGGCTTACGCACGGCAGGACTGCACTGACAATCAAATACCACCTACGTGGCACTGGATAAAGATTGTGATCCCCCGGTCAGACTGATCTCTGGAGGTTCTCTGGTCCAACCTTCTGCTCAAAGTAGGGCTCATTTCACAGCCAGAACTAAGCTAGAAGTCCCAAATCAAAAGGCAGCAGCAATTTAGAGGTAAGGAAAAAGTTACAATCAATCAAGGAGCTGCACTCTAGTTTATGAAACTCCCCATCAATCTTTATTGACTGACACCCTATTTCCCCGAATACAAAACACACCTGTTTTATTTCCCATTTCTCTGGGTCCGAAATTCGGGTGAGGCGTTTCCGTTCAAGGCTATCATCTTCCACCTCTGGAGCATTCACTAGGGACAGGTGACTTGGTCTGTCTGGGTTTCTCATAGAGGTTTCTTCATTGGTTTCTCCAACCAGGTTTCTCCTCCGATTTGGGTTCAAGTCTTCCCCAGTGTCTTGATCAACATCCTACATTAGATTGATTAATCAATCAGCTCTACCTATATTGCAATTCTCCTCATCTATTAACACTGGTGCTTTCTCTAACACGAGAAAAAGCAGAGTATATTTCTCAGAGAGACTACTGCCAACAACAGCCCATACACAGAAAATGCTAATTTTGCACGCTTTTTTGTTTTCCAGCTCATGTCATGAGGTAAGTACACGCCAAGGCCTGGAACACTCTACTCTGCCTTGGCAACAGCAGCGATTTCACTTAAAATGAAACGCTTCTCTCATACTGAAAAGGGAAGACAAACACAGCAACAGCCTGAGGTTTGCCTTGCCACTTAGTTAACGCATCAAGTAAATAAACTCGTTAGGAATGTTACCTCAAAAACAAGAATCTACAGAAAATAAGTAAAAAATAATAGGTCACTTAAATACAGAAGAGTAAGTCAATTTGTTTAACTCCCAGACGAAGGGAAGGGTTATGTATTAGTTTTCACCAAAAAGAGCAAAAAAATAGCAGAGAGGGGCATAATCTTTAAAAATGTTGGCACCGCAAACTCTATCATAAGCACTACAGAACGTCTTCCATACCTTCATGCTCAGGCTGGTTTTGGATCCAGTAAAGGACAACACTTTGACTTTTACTCTTTGTCCTTTGCTCACAACATCGGCCACATTGGCAACCCGTCCTTCTCGCCGAAGCTCGGAGATGTGGACCAAGCCCTCCCAGCGCTTCCTGTAGGTCAAACAGAGGAGCATGAGATGTTTTACATTACTCTGGCAGTCCTTCAGAGTCTGGAATATTTTTTTACCAACTGATTGATTGTGTACTCTCATAAACTGTTTTTTATAAAGAGAACATTCTCTGCTATCAAATTTATTTTTCTGAAACAGACCTTTGTTTTGGCCTCAAATCCTGACACACCTATTGGAGCCCCACAACCTCCTTAAGGCAGCAGTGGAAAAGGGAACTCGGATGGAACAGTACCAGATCCACTGTGAACATCAGAACGTACCTTAGTCCCTCCAGCTGCACAAAGCATCCAAACTGCATGATACTCGTGACTTTGCCGTTGTAAATGTCTCCAATGGAAGGCTCCTCAGGCGGCGGACGGTCTACGTGCTTGTCTCTCCATCTCTCATTGCTCTTCTCAATATACTTCTCTCGATCCTTACGGTTCCTACTGGGACTCTGACTTCTGCTCCTTGACCGGTATCTGGATTTTCCTCTGTTCTTATCCCGCGTCCTAGAACGAGACCTAGAGCGAGATCTGTGCCTTCGCTTCCTGTCTCTGCTGCGACTTCGGCTCCTCTTCTTTTTCTTTGCCCTAACAAACAAACAAACATTACACATTTGCAGTGAAATTCCACATGAGAACAGAGCGAGCCAGCAACACCAACTGCCAACACCCATCCCTCAAAGACATACTGGAAACCTACCGGTGGTCACTGCTCCTTTGCTTGCCCTGCCTGCCTGCACAAGGCATCAGAGCTTCAAGTTCTTTAAGTGCATCAGCTGCCACTTTCACATCATCTTCATCCAGCATATTCTGCAAGAACAGAGAACCATTCTGTAAGAAGGTGGATTAAAAGTCTGCCACGGAGAATTAAACTACAGAAAGGATAACCACATGCATATCTATTTACAAAGAATGTCACACAAAAAAAATCAGAATACGTGACAGACAAAAATAAATACATACAGCTGCCCCTCTATTTTGCCACAATATTGAGATGATTTGCTTTTATATAAAAGACAGCTTCATTTCAACACCTCCAGTCCTTGCAGAAATATAAAATGCGAGTCTATCATAGCATCTAGATGTCCAAAATTTCCATCTAGTTTTTAAACTATTGTTACTTTGACCATTATGTAAGAAAGACCAGGCTACAAATTTTGTGTCACAAGAGTCTCATCTTCCAGGTATTCTGCAAAACAGTATCAACATGGCAACTGCTGTAACAGCTATTCCTGACAACCACAGGGAATAATACCAGTCTTCTGCCTTTCGTACTCCATAGACAGCTTTTACCCATGCATCAGCAGGAGACACTCACATTAACGTGTGAAAAAATGAAACTAAGGAAAAAAAAAAAAGAGTTTTCACATACTCACAAAAGAAACATGAAATTATGACCTTACCCTGATATTGGGATTGTCTGGCCTGCAAAGGGCTGGAAACAATTCCTTCAACTTTTCCTTCTCCGATTTGGGTTTGACAACTGTGTCTGATTTTGAGATTTAAAACAAAACAAAAAAAATTTAGAAGAGCTAACAATTCACTCTTGTTTTTTCTGTAACTGAATACAAAGTCTAACTTTCATCTGAAGGCAAAGGTTGATACAGGTTTTACAGAGATTCAATGTGGAGATTACGACGTTACCTTCTTACAAATAAAACTGTAAACATCCCTGAAACACACAAAGACTCTACCCAGGGCACCCCGCACGTTTCAGTGCCTGAACAGCTGTGCTGACCCACCGCTACCAACAGCGACGCTCCCACCGCAGCAGCGACACGGCGCAGAGTCTCGCTTGGCAGCACTAGAACAGCAACTACAGCAACGTCCCCCGGCACGGCCGCGAGCGGCGAGCGACCGAGAGCTTCGTTCGCCCGTTTACACCGGACTCTAAGGGAGACAGGACTACGTGTACCTTTGCTCGTAGATGGTTTTGGTGGAGGCCGCATTGTCTGTATGAGACGCAGCAAATTACTGATAAGAGAATCCTGAAAAATTTAATAAAATACTTTAATCTAGGAAATGACTGCAACACTGTTTTTCATTATTAGAAGGCAAAAGCGAGGGCTTATTAGCAGGACAAAAAAAAGCTTAATTCTGAAGATGCAGGTTGATTTTTAGAAACTACCGCTGGACTTCATGTACATCCTAAAAAGATTACGAAGTTGAATCTGAAAATGATTATGATGATTCCAATTAAGTTACTTTTCTACTTGTCGTTTTTAATCATCTATTTAATCCAACCACAGTTACTTCTGAGGAACTCGTGAACCCAGCATCTAAGTATCATAAAAAGACTTACAACGTTTGCCTTTGTGAAAAGGTGTTTCTTCCATATTTTCAATAAGACAATAAGCAGTTCAAGTCCTCAGAAGGATGTAATCTTTTGCAAAGATTACAGAAGTTTTTTTAAAAAAATAAGAGGGAGGAAGCAGCTTGGCTTGATGAGACAGTAATACTTAAAAGCTAATTACTGCATAGTTCTCCAACTGAAGAAAGCCAATGATGATTCCTCGCACCTCTCTAACCCAAAAAGCTCTATAAAACGTACCAGAAGAAGGGGAACCGCTAAGGAACGTTCGGATCTCACCTACCGTGAACTCGGCACCGTTCTTTAGAAGAACCGCTTTAAACGTGTCGAACGTCGTGTTCTTCTCGGCGAGGTTTATCACGAACTCGGCTGCGGAGACACCGCGGAGAGCCCGTGAGGACGAACGGCCAACGGGCGGCACGAACGCCGCGCGCTGGCACAAGAGCTGCTCTCCCGGCGCCCCCCGAGCCCGGCCG